ATATCATGAAATGAACTGAACATTATCGCCGCGACTGCGCTGATATAAACTCAGTGATCATCCATCCATTCAGAGTGAGCTCTTGGGACTCAAGTCCGATGTCACCGAGGTATTTTTCATACGCCCCTGTGGCATGCAATCACACAAAGTAACGTCTTGACTCAATCAACAACAGAACCAATAGCAATAAAGAAATCATCCAAAAAGTCGCGTATCAGAAAACATTCAAGGAAATATCCCGTCATTTCTTCAACGCCCATTCTTATACAAGGATTGAGGTCGCTGGGCATGTTCATGGAGGGCGCCATACACCCTGAAAACCTTCCCTTAAACCCCTCCCCTGTTAGGCGTGTTAGGGTCTTCAGGGGGGTGGTTAAGACACCAAAAAACAACCGTTGCACACTTTTCTTTTTCCCAAGCCCCTGTTTGACAGCTTATATTTCCCTGTCGACGTTGATGCTTGCTTGCACTTATATTAGTGCCCACATGGGAAAATGTCAACCTCATGGCAAATGTGCATGGGGGATAATGAAACACAGAGTGTGCACACTTGTACGATTGTACCTTACAGCGACCAAAAAAATCATGTGAATTTTCCAACCCATCTTAAGCTACCTACCTAGTACCTACGATAATGATGAATGAGTTAATGTTGGACAATCGGACTTTCCCCCAAGGTACAACTGTACAAGTAACCTACTACCTGGGCCACGGGAAACACATTCTGTATCTAGCCGTTCGAACGAAAAGTCGGGTCACCACGAGACCCGAGTAAAGTTGGTCAAATTATGAATCTTCTGGCAAGTCCCGTTGCGAATAGATAAGTGGTTACCTTCAATGCATTACTCGACATATATTATTTGTGTTATTTTGTAACTTCTACTTAGTGCTTCCGAAGTCCTTCAATCTCTGCTAAAAGAGAGACCGAGATGAGCAACACGATGAATTATCAAACGGAATATACCTCAATGGAGTAAAGTCATAGTAATCTAGCCGTAAGATATGCATTGGAAATGCATTGGTATGCATACAGGAGATAAGTACATCTAAATACGAGCTATTTTTAGTGTTTTGAAAGGGCTAATAGATTGATTGAAGATCAAACATCTATTTCAGGTTGCCGGAAATCGTTTCGACACCAGAACAGATTTTAGTAAATAGATTGCGATCAGCGACTGGTTCGGGATATATATGTCGCGAAACTAAAACAGACTTTGACGACGTTTGAAAAGCCCAAAGTAAACCGCCCGAACTTAGAGACATTCTTAATTTCTTACCCTCAACGTCCCGCATGGATTCGCGGCATGAACCCTCACTTAGGAACGGACATGGAGCTTATCCAAGATTGAACTTTGAGAACATCATCAATGGCTTTTCCTCAAATCCTACTCTACCGTGTTTTATGTTTTACGTACGGTAGCAAGCACTCGCCTCTCCCTCAAAAGATATTTCCGATACTGAATCCTAGACATTCGCTTGAAGAGGGGAAGCTGATCCGAATGTAACTCTCAGGCATTATGGAAGAACTTACGAGAGCCCTTGATGCATGCCTTAATATCTTACCCGCCTCAATTTGAATCAACAGCAGTCCAAGTCTTAGATACTGTGTCAATCTTCACTCTACAAGTGCTCCAATGAATTAACAATAACACAGTTCTTGGAATGAAGACTCCACCACTTCCCTATCTACAACTGTACAGTAGTGATAATCAATCTACTTACAGGCAACGAACGGGGCTCAATTTTGAGTTTACTCCCTGAATTTCCACCCCCCACATACATGTTCCCACATGCAAAGTTCTAGACCTTATCTTTTTACCCATATGTTTTGTCTACAACAGCTCACCTACAGAGTCACAAGCGGCAGTTATACTTGATCCGGTAAACAAATTGTTCATTAATCTAATATCAATGCTTTATGCATAATATTTCACACGGAATATCATCCAAAACAAAAAAAATCAAAAAAAACGATTGAATAATTGCTACCATTCTAGTGATAGTTCTCCACACAGTTTCCAACAGATATCGGTACGATTCCTTCTACTAAAAGAAAAAGGAAATACAATGCCACGTCGAGAGTCTTGCGCATACCTACTCCGAGACATCCGGATAATCTAGCCCACGAATCCCCATGATCCCAAAAACATTTGCGAAAGAGACGACTCCTACTGGCTCTCTCCTGACCAAAAACCTCAAAAAGCAGCAATAGAAACTCACATGATCTTACACCTTCCCTCCCATACGGCAACGGCCAACTTCCGCGCTCCAATGACACACAAGTACAGCCTTATATCAGAAACGACATATACCCTCCACAAACAAGCCAGTCCGTCCCGATTTCAGCACACATGCAATGAAACGACCTGGACGAATAAGCATAAAGCAATAGCCATCTTGAGGAGGAAATATGGAAATAGGAAATGGGAAATGGAAATGGAAATGGAAATGGAATTGCTGGATGCAGATATATACTTGTATATACATACGTACAGTATTACGATATCAAAATCATCAATGGTAACACCATCTTGCCTGCAGCTTATCTATCGTACAGTCACTGGTATAATTACTCGACATGGAATAGAAAATCCCACGTACATACACTATAATAAGTCTGTAACTGTATCGCCGAATAGCCACTCTCACCCATACACACAACACACACACCACATCTCCGTATCCCATCCATTCCATTCCAACCCATCTCGCACCGTAGCTCATGCCTAAAGCGATGACGCCACGTGCTGTGCCTCTTCCCCGCATGAGATGAGATACCCTTCTCTTCTCAGCTAGAAACAAACCTCGGGCTTTGGGAATATAATCATATAATCACATAATCATATAAATGAATGAATGATATAATAGCGATAGATAGATATATATGAGAGCAATGCGCAGCACAGTATCTAAGCACTGTGAAATATTAATCCTTTCTCCTGCAGTGTGCATGTATATGCTTACTTTACTGTACACGGAAGGATTCGTGACCAGACCGAGCAAGCCACAATATAAAAATTTCATAGAATTAATTCATTCATTATTACTTCCTTTGGAATTCAAAATCTTTTACTAGTAGTACGAGTATAACAAAAACATATATTATATCTTTAGATAGTTTGATAATAAAAGAAAAATAAAATGGAAATCAATTCAAATCAATCAATACAATTCCCATTTATAACGTTTGGAAGGAAACTAACTGTCTATACAACGACTTTCTACTTTCTACTACTGTACAAGTAATAGTAATCCTCTCTTCCTGCTTCCTGCATCAAAATCAAAATCAAAATCGAATCTTCTCCAAGCCTCTCCCGAATTATTTATTGGTAATCATCATATATTCATATCATATCATCAAACGAGGCATAATCATTAATTCGTCTTGCATTTACTTATTTCCCCATTCGCATCTTCGCATCTTACACCGTATAAGGCTCGTAAACGCTTCCAATAACACACTGCGCATTCTGGATATTGAAATCGTGCCGTTTACAATACATACTTCGTATATAGATATAGATATAGAATAGCTATACAGTAAGGTTAGCTGTGTATATGTATAGTAGCTACTCGTACTGATAAGAATACATAATATACTGAATATCATGTCGTGTTAGCTTTCCCAATACTGTACATACGAGTGAGTACTCATGTATAATGAATGTATATGTGAGTAAAAGGGAATAGCTCCAAAATAAGCACTACACTAGGAAAATGGAAACTTACCGTAAGATTACTCGTTCCTCGTTACTTGGGATGTCACGGTGGTATATAAAAAGCTGGGAATTCGAAGACCGAACATCAGATGGAGACAAGTCGCGCACACGGATAACGGATCGTGAATCGTGGATCGTGGACACGCAATAGAAATGTAGTGAAAGGTAGTGAAAGGTAGTGAAATAGTGAAATGTAGTGATTGGTAACCTTACATACATACCAAACAGCGAGTTCCGGTATAAGTAACAGTAGCAAGTACAGAATATGTATATAGTGAAGTTACAGCACATGATATTTATCGAGACGGGATGCAGGAAGCCGTTGGGTGGAATCGGCGACTGGGCTGGCTAGCTAGGCTGTAGCAACCGGATTCCAGGGGTTTTTGACCCTGTTAGGGTTTTTTTCATGAGAGGGTTGCTGGGGGGAGGTCATGGTAATGGGTAAGTAACATTATTGATAACTTAAAAAATGTGATAATTTCATGGGCTTTCCGTTGTTTTGGGTCGTTGGCATTTGTTTGTTTAGGTATGGTAAGTTTATTGTATTATGTGATGCGGTGACGAGCTTCGAGATATCTAAAGACATGGGAGCATGGAAGCATGGTTGACTTGACTTGGTACGAATTCTCGGGATGGTGGTGAGCACGTGATTGATTTACTTTTACTTTGAAATTTCAGGTAACCTTATCGTCAAGTGAAGAGAAGTTTTCGAGTCATGAATATGATTATATATCGCGAATTGTGTCATGAAACATAGATAAATACCCGATATGTCATATAAACAATACCATACCAGCAAGATTTACCATCATTTTCTCAATCGCACGTGTGGGATCTTGCAATTGATAAGTGCAGCTTTGCAATCGCGCACATCGTCTAAATATCACGACATCAGCTAAAATAGGTAATTCCGTGTCACACCATCGCTTTTCGTCCAGAAATTATCCATAAGGCGACTTTGGACGCGGGGGGATCGATGTGGTATTCGGTGTTTTTGTTGCTTCAGAAGATGAGGTTTGGGATCTCTACTTGTTTGGTTGGTTCTTTAGAGGAAGTGAGGGGAAGCTAGCTATTTTGCCCGTGAAATTTGGTGGATATATATAAATGGAGGGTGAAATTTTCGTTTTTCAGGTAGATTTTTACTGGGTTTTCACTTTTTTAGCATTATGTCACTTCTGTCCCTCCAAGCTATTGTGCTTTAAAGTTTTAACCCCCAAGAGGAGAATGATTTGCTGAAGTTTGGAGCAGTAAGCATTTGTGAATAACATTCTCTCTATTAAGATGGCAATCCCAATTGATGATGAGAAGCATGTGACGTCGTTTCCAGCACCGTCAACAAGTGAAGTTGTAAATAGTGCATCCCCAACTGCTTTAACACAGTTAGATGATAACTATGCCTTATTCCAAGATGCTAGGGACATGGAGGTTGATCCCGAAGAAGCAAAACGAGTACTTCGAAAGATTGATATGCGACTCATGCCCATTCTCTTCTTTACATATATGTTGCAGTATCTAGACAAGAATTCGATCAACTTCTCAAGTGTGTATGGATTGCAAAAAGGTACCCATTTAATTGGACAACAATATTCCTGGCTAAGGCAAGATCACCCTGCTGCATTGTTCCTGCATCACATACTTCTCAGATCATACTAACCATACGCACAGCTCAATATTCTACTTTGGTTACCTATTCTTCCAATTTCCATCAGGCTATGTTCTTCAACGCCTTCCTATTGGGAAAGTCCTCTCCCTAACCACCATCGCTTGGGGAGTCATCCTCATCACCACCCCAGCATGCGTCTCATTCGGCGGAATAGCCACGAACCGATTCCTCCTCGGAGCCGTTGAAGCAACCGTAAACCCGGGCTTCGTCCTCCTAATGTCCATGTGGTACACAGCAGCCGAACAACCCCTCCGACTCGAAATCTACTACTGCACCAACGGCATCGCCACCATGTTCGGAGGCCTCATCGGCTACGCCATTGGTAACATTACCTCCGGTCTCCCAAAATGGATGTACGTCTTCCTGATCTTCGGCGCCCTCTCCATCACCTGGGGCATCATCTCCTTCATCACCCTCCCGGACCTCCCCTCCACCGCCACATTCCTCACGCCCCATGAACGACTCATCGCCATCAACCGCGTAGCCTCTAATCGTCAAGGCGTCAAAAACCGCCACTTCCAAACCTATCAAGCATGGCAAACGTTCCAAGATCCCAAAACATGGATCCTATTCGTCATGGCCGTCGGTGCACAGGTTCCAAACTCCGCCCTCACATCCTTCACATCCATCATTGTCGGAACCTTCGGTTTCGACACCCTCGGTACCCAATACCTGCAAATTCCCGGCGGCGCAGTTCAGTTCTTGGCTCTGATGGCTGGTGGATATATTTGCACCAAGTTCCCGCGCAATTCCCGCTGCATCACGATGATTGTCGCTAATACAATTTGTATTCTCGGTGCGGGTTTATTGGTTGGTCTTCCGAGTAGTAATAAATGGGGAAGATTGGTAGCGTTGTGGTTGTGCTATTTTCAGGGATTGGGATTCAGCATGAGTCTTACGATGGTGAGTAGTAATATCGCGGGTTATACGAAGAAACAGTTGACGGCGGCGGTGCTGTTTACGGGATATTGTGTGGGGAATATTATTGGACCGCAGACTTTTATTAATAGTGAAGCTCGTGAGTTTTTTTTTTCTTCTTCTTTTTCTTTTCTTTTCTTCCTTTCCTTCGCTTCCATCATATCATATCATATCACAACATTTATATGTATTTGCCCCATAAACACAAACTAACATCCCCAAAAGCCGGATACCACTCAGCATACATAGCAATGCTAGTAGGCTACTCAGTCAAACTGGCAATGGTAGTCGTGCTATATATCTACATGTACACGAGTAATAAAAAGAGAGATGCAGAGCAAGCGGCGAGAGGAGAGGCGAGCGAAGAGGAAGAAAGAGAGGCGGTCGAGAAGGGTATGAAGGATATGACGGAGATTGATAATAGGGGGTTTAGATATATTTTGTAGTTTAGTTTAGTGGTTACTCTGTGGGGTGTAGATGGGGATGGGGATGGGTATGTATAACTTCCAGATAAATTTATTATTTTGATAGTAAAGCAAATAGCCAATCTTGTTAAGAAAGTGATGCCCTATGGCGTGGTGGAAGTAGCAGTATTATTGACTATCTAAAGAAAGGTACTCTTATACATCGTAAGGAGAGAAGGAGGTGCACAGAGCGACCCCAACTATATGGTGGATGAATGCCTAAGGCATTCATCCGAGCTAGGGTGGTAAGGATGGTAAGGGTGCAGAGCACGTGACATCTAACCTCAACTTCCAACAAATCTGTTGATTTTATTGAAAAACATAGGTATCATGTACGTTGTATATCGATTTCTGAATACCCCTACCCCTACCCCTACCCTAATCCACTCGCTTGTTCATTGGCTGGCTCTAAATATCTACAGAAAGATGGAAACCTAGCTAGCCACTTCTTTCGAGACTTAATTTTATCTTGAATTTGTGGGGATTACCTATCTTCTCCAATTGCCATACTGCAAACCAAGCAGGGTCTAGAAATGTAGTTTACATATCAAGTATAAACTAGACTCAGTGATATTGATTTCCCCTCCTCTCCTATCCTGCCTTGTAGAATAGGATAGGCTCGCTAGCGCCTAGGGTTAGGAGCAGGAAAGAGTGGTCAAATTTTTTCAGGAGAGGATTGGAAAGGTGTCGGTATAGTCATCTACTGTACCGGGGTACTGGCACCGTACTATCGAAGGGCTAGGGCAAGCCTTAGCGAAAGGGCTTCAATACACATATAGTCTCCATCATGTAGAATAGTAATCAACAAGCTTTTTATTGATATCAACACTGAACATCCGTCGGACTTTCTACCATCGTAGATCTGAAAGGTGTTCCCGTTGATACCAACATTATCATTATCAAGAAGCGGAACACAGAACTGTAATCAAGTGCTGGATATCTATTCCCTATTCCAATTCGGTTAA